ATATATATATATATATATATATATATATATATATATATATATATATATATATATATATATATATATATATATATATATATATATATATATATATATATATATATATTTTTTTTTTTTTACTTTGAGTTGCACATCAACCATTGATTTTACTATTTCGAGAACTTTTTAAAACCAAATATTTATTTTTACTAGTAATAATATAAAACGAAGAGTATTTGACAATTATGCACGTCAGTCTCTAGTATTGAGATAAAAATAAGTAAAGGGCAAAATAGTGAAGTAAAATAGAAACGTGGATCGTTTTATAATTAAAGACAAATACCGGGGCCAAAGTGGAATTAAAGAAAAATAAGGAAACAAAACGAAGAAAAACCCTTCTGTACACCGTCTCACTAAAACCCTTGTCCTATTTCTTTCATTTCCTCCGGGTCTTCGCAGTCTGAATCTCTCTTTCTCTCTCCTAAATCTCTCTCTCTCTCTCTCCTAAGGTATGTGAATCCACTCTTCTTCATCATTTGTTCATAGCGTAGTTTTTTAATTTCCAGCATAAAGAATGAAGGTTCTGCGAATTTAATCGAGTTATAATTTGTGGATTCATTTTTCTCTATTTATTTCTTGCGCTGCGTTTGGTGATTTTATCTTAGGTGCCGTGAATCTTGTTTGACAGCTGAAAGTTATTGAGATGGGAATAATTTGACCTAATTTATTAAATTGCAATTTTAATTATCGTGTGCACTGTTGTAGAAGAAGATGAATCTGAACAATGTGAAGATGCCGAATATGCCCAGTGGGGGTGCGGCTTCCGCGTTAATCAAGCTGGGAATTGTTGCGGGGCTCGGCATTTACGGAATCGGGAACAGTCTCTACAATGTCGAGGGAGGTCACCGAGCAATTGTTTTCAACCGTATCGTGGGGATTAAGGATAAGGTTTTGTTCTTGCCCTAGTTGACCTGATATTTTAATTGATTTTCTGATTTGTTTGTTGCTCTGGCGACTCATGTACTAGTTTCCGCAATTCAATTCTGAATATTGGTAATTAGTTAAATTTGAGGAAGAGTTAAAGCTCGATATTTGTAGATCACTGTATTCTTGTTTTTTTTTTCTTGTGTAAATAATCCTAAATTAAGTGTGAAGTGCTGCACAATTTCTTGCTGCTGAGTTAGTTGCTTAATACGAATTCAGGTACTTCATTTCATTCTGGAGGATTTATATGCTGTTATGCGGTGTACTGTGTAGGTCTTGCTAATGCACTAAGGCAGCAGCTTTTCTAGAAAATTCTCAAGGGCTGAAAATTGTTTTGACCTGCTCGATTTTTTCTACGATTTCCAGTTGATAGTTCATAAACAACTTGACTGACTGTTTAGTACGTGATTGAATGACATATATATAGAAACTGTAGTGGCACTTTTACTGGTGTACACACTACACTTGCTCTCAAGTATGTACGTCTTTTCGAGATACGTTGACACGTTTTTTTTCTTCTTCTTATATGCTGAATATGCAGGTGTATCCCGAAGGAACGCATTTTATGATTCCATGGTTTGAAAGGCCAGTGGTTTACGATGTTCGTGCACGGCCCCACTTGGTCGAGAGCACTTCTGGCAGTCGTGACCTTCAGATGGTAAATCTCACATCCCTCTCACTTCCTCATAAAACTCAAAACGAGTTTGATATTTTCTGGGTTTTTTTCTTTGAAATGAATTTCCATCCGAGTTACAAAATAATTTTGTTTGTCTTCATGCTCTGCTGTGAGCTTCACAACAACATTTTCTAATTAATTGATTTTTGCAGGTAAAAATTGGTCTTCGTGTTCTCACTCGTCCTATTCCGGACCAGTTGCCAACTGTTTATAGAACTCTTGGTGAAAATTACAACGAGAGAGTACTGCCTTCTATTATTCACGAGACTCTCAAAGTTGTCGTCGCCCAGTTCAACGCTAGCCAACTTCTCACCTAGAGAGAGGTACGTTTTGAGCGCATTGAAATGTTTTTTTGGAAGCATTGATCTGTACAAGTATGCATTGTTTATGCAGTTACATCATATCGAACACGTTAGATATATATTTGCTCTCTGAGTAAATTATTTTATGAATCTTGAATTTTGCTCCCTTGATAATTTTTAATTTCTTCACAAAGAATAATTTTAGTTTTCTGTTTAGGGAGAAGTACATGATATTAGAGCCTTATTATGAGTCTATGACCATACTTAAGCATGTATATTGGTCGTTATAGAATTGAGGATCTGGCAAAGGATTTTCACCTTGTAACCAATTGTTATAGGGAGAAATTGAACCAGCATTTTATATTAGTCTAAAGAATGTCGAATAAGAGATTATGTGTCAACTGTACAAAAATACATGCCAAATTCATATGTGAGAAGTGCCGATTAAAAGAACGGCACTTATGGTCATATGAAATGATTTGGACTTACTGAATAATTAATCGAATGCACCAGTTACTGAATGATTAATCGAATGTTTAATGGCCTTTACCATAATAATTCACATGTTGTTCGAAGTAGTTTATCTGATTTGAAATTCACGATGCGATGGAATTATTATTGATCGATATTTACTTAATGCAGAATGTGAGTAGGGAAATTCGTAAACTATTGACAGAAAGAGCTGCCTCCTTCAACATTGCATTGGACGACGTGTCAATCACCAGCTTGACCTTCGGTAGGGAATTCACCGCTGCAATTGAAGCCAAACAGGTGGCTGCACAAGAAGCAAGAGGGCTAAGTTTGTGGTCGAAAAAGCAGAGCAAGACAAACAAAGTGCCATAATTCGAGCACAGGTAAAATAACTACTGCAGTATTGTCAACCTTCATTTCTTATCGGCTTAATTTGGGGCAATTTTACTTTAATTATTATTTATTTTTTTCGGGAAAACAGGGAGAGGCGAAGAATGCACAGCTGATTGGTCAAGCAATTGCGAACAACCCGGCATTTATTACACTCAGGAAAATCGAAGCGTCCCAGGAAATTGCGCGAACAGTTGCAGCTTCAAACAACAAGGTTTACTTGGCCTCCGACGACTTGTTACTGAACCTTCACGATCTCAATTCCCCACAAGGTGGCAAAAGTGAACCGCTGCTGTTTCTTGAAATTACGATTTAAGACTTTCGAATTCGGAACTCACTTGTGGGAGTTTGTGACATTTGAGTTATATATTTATTTGTAAGACCCTAAAATGCGGCATTCTCTATTTTCCGTGCCCTCCTGAAAATACGGGAATTCGACATTGCATAAGGAACTAGAATCTTGTATTTTGGTTTTCTCCCTTGCATGTTTTTGTTTGTAAAACAAGAAATTGCACCTCTTTGGACCAAGTTTAATGATTTGATATTCCTGCGTTTGTTTTATTATTGATTATTTTAAAAGAAATTGATAGTCCCATTTATTTATCACAGCTCAATTCGGGTTTGAATGATAATCCCTTTTATTTAATGAAATGCTATTTGCGGTCACAAAATTGCTATTCGCGGTTTATAACAAAATCCCCCAAAACTTTTAAAAATATCAAAAAACCTCCCAAAATTGCAAATAGCAAAAAAAAAAAAAAAGAAATTCGAAAATTCGAAATCAAGCTTGAAGAAGGGTTGGGCTTCGATTTTTTGATGTAATTTCGACTCTTTTATGTGTAATATGCATTTGGTAGATCGATTACGGAACCAATTTCATGTTAAAAAGCCCTACAAAATCGATTTGTAGCGCTTTTTTTTTCGCAAAAAAATGTTCGAACGCCCAAGATGGGCGCCCAAGGCGTGTACGAACGCTTCGTTCGAACATTTAAAAAAAAAAAAAAAAAATTTTTGCACTGGACGCCCAATTGGGGCGCCCAAATGCAGTTTGCACGCCCAATTTGGGGGTGCACTGCATGAATGGACGCCCAAGTTGGGTTTTTACGCTTTTTGGGGGGGGGGAGTTTGGATTTTTTTGGGAAGTTTTGGAGTTATAGTGAAATAAAGTTTTTTTGGGGGGGGGGGGGGGGGGTTTATTATAAAACGCAAATAGCAATTTTCAAACCGCAAAAAACAATTCTCTTTATTTATCAAACTTTAGGCTAATGAGATTCAAGAAACAACATATTTAAATTAACATATAAAAATATAAATAGAGATACACATACGACAATAATAATTAATTTTTTTATACACAATAAATAATAACTTTGTGTTATAATGTAAATTTTATAGTTGGGTGTGCTTTAAAGTGATAAATTAATTGAAGTCATTTAAATGTACTAAATTATTAATTCGATAACTTAATATTTCACTAAATTAAAATTTTGTTTGTTTCGATTATATTAATTTATAGACGTTTAATAATATTTTAATTATGAATTTTGCAACAGAAAAACTGGTTAAAATGGATGAAAAACAATTTTAAGATTGATAACTGTCTAGAAAATAGAGCTCTTTACATTCAAAAGGCGATGAATTTCAGATAAAAAAAAAAAAAAAAAAAGAAGCAATGATCTTCCGCTCTAAACACAAACCCTAATTTTAGATCTGAAGACATCAGCAATTTCAAGAGCTGGTGAATTTGGTGACGGCCTTTGTTCCTTCAGAGACGGCGTGCTTGGCCAACTCGCCGGGCAACACCAGCCTCACGGCGGTCTGAATTTCACGGGAAGTGATGGTCGGCTTCTTGTTGTACCGAGCCAGCCGAGCCGATTCCTGCGCCAGCTTCTCGAAAATATCGTTGATGAAGCTGTTCATTATTCCCATGGCCTTGCTGGAAACGCCGATGTCAGGGTGGACCTGCTTCAGCACCTTGAATATGTAGATCTTGTACGTCTCCACGCTCTTCTTCGTCCTCTTCTTCTTCTTCTCTCCGGCGGCGGCGCCGCCGGCTTCCTTCGGTAGCTTCTTCCCGGCCTTGGGCTTCTTCTCCGCCGGAGATTTCTCTGCCGCCGGCGCTTTCTCGGCTGCGGGCTTCTTCTCCGCCGGCTTCTTATCTGCCTTCACCATTGAATCTGATAAATTTCGAAAGGTATTTGGATTTTTGATTTTTGGATTTGAGTTTTCAGCGAGGAATGAATTGTGGTTGAGGAAGAGTGTGTTTATATAGCAAATTAGGGGTGATGTCTGATTGGTCAGTTTCTCGTGTCTCGGATCGTGCTTTATGATCGTTGATAAGAATTAAAAGTTTTGACGGTCGCGATTTGTTTGTATTGTATTTGAACTTGATTGGTGGATTTTTCTGGCGCGGGGATTATGGGGATAAAGATTTAGATTGATAATCAAGGGTGCAGATTCAACATTGTGAAAAGCATACTAACTAAGTATTCTCTTATTATTTGTGAAATTAAATTAAAACACTAATTAAGACCAAATAAATTATTTGGATCAATCCAAGCTAAAAGTGGGTAAAATTGGATCAAGCTCATATTAAAATGGGTTCAAATTATATCGACAATTGTATATATACTAGTACTTCACCCGTGCGTTGCACGGATATCAGTTTCAAAATGAGAAAAATAATAACATTTAAACGATTATCTCTTTATAACAACACCAATTTAAGTAAAACAAAATGGAAGGAAATAAAAAAATTATCTCTCAATTCAGAGTTGTAACATTTGAAATTCAATTAAATATTACAAAGAAAAATACGCGAATGGCGCAAAGCACGATATGAAGATTAAGTGAAATAATTTAAAAATATGGTATAAATCTATTTCATAGAATGCAATCTACTACACCATGTGAATCCTCTACAAAATAACTAACTTAACAACAAACACAGTAGCATGTAGGTAACACAACAGATATTCAAATAACTTGCAAGTTTATCACTAACAACATTCAATTAGTGATGCACATTAATCAAACAACAACACAACTTATAAATATTGCAAAAGAGATAAAATGTATACGCCAATACCAATAATAATACCAATACTGATATCAATATTGATACTAATAATGATACTAATAATGATACTAATACTAATACTAATAGTAATACTAATACTAATACTAATACTAATACTAATACTAATACTAATACTAATACTAATACTAATACTAATACTAATACTAATACTAATACTAATACTAATACTAATACTAATACTAATACTAATACTAATACTAATACTAATACTAATACTAATACTAATACTAATACTAATACTAATACTAATACTAATACTAATACTAATACTAATACTAATACTAATACTAATATTAATATTAATACCAACACTAATACTACTACTAATACTAATATTAATACTAATACTATTATTAATACTATTACTAATACTAATATGTTGATATTGTTAATGTTAATGCTACTACTAATTTTGATGCTAATGCTAATATAGATATGCTAATTATTATGCTAATGCTAATTAGTTGTAATTCTAATATTATCCAAATCCTTATTATATTACTAATTTTATTTGTAACACTAATCATAGTTCTAATCGTAATCCTTATCATAATCCTATTCTTAACACTAATCATAAGCCTAATAATTTTAATACTAATAATGCTAATGCTAATGCTAATATTAATTCTAATTCTAATTTTAATCTTAATTATAATTCTAATCCCAATTTTAATGCTAATCATAATCTTAATACTAATGCATGTCACTAATTATCGTACTAAGCATAATCATAATTTTAATTATAATTCTAATACTAATATTAATTATAATCCTAATATTATATTAATCCTAATTACAATCTGAATCATATTTCTGGTATTAATACTAATACTAATTCAAAGAATCTTAATTATAATTATAATTCTAATACTAATATTAATCACAAATTCTGATTTTGCAACAATTTCTTTTTTTTTTTTTTTTTTTGCAATGATCTAGTATTTAGTATAATTCAATCTCGAACATTTAATATTTAATTATATTATCAAACTGACATTAAAATTATTTAAAATATTATAAGGGTATAAGCAAACGTTAAGACGTAAAAGAACAATAATCATTGTTAATAAGATAAATTATGAAAATCCTCATGAACTTAGGCTAAATTACAGAAAACACCCCCACTTATCGGTGATTACCAAAATCTCCCTGATGTTTGTTTCTGTCTTACACGACCCCTTATGGTGTGATTTTTTTACGTAATCTTTTTTATTCTATGTAATGTCTCAAAAAATATGGAGTCTACCCTTACAGACGTGACATTTCTTTTATCGTACTTTATAAACTCAAAAATTAATCTCAGGGGTGGTCATGGTAATAATAAAAATTTGTGAAAGTGTTATTTAAGAAGAATAAAGATTTCGTGTAAAGTTCACATGAGGGTAATTTTTGTTTTTAAAAAGTACCATAAAGAAATGTCGTGTGTGCATGGTATAATAAGCATTATTGGACCACGTAATAAAAAAATTCCTTGACAAATCATACCATAAGGGGGTCGATGTAAGACGGAAACAAACATTAGGGGAATTATTAATATAAACTATTTATGGCAAGAGCACTTCGAGTGGGATTATTAAAGGAGCTATCAAAATATTTAACCACAATTTTTATACTCCAAAATAGTAATTTTTAATTCTAATAGAGTTATGAAATGAGGTATTTTGATACTTCATCTTTCAGAATGTAAAAATACATTATGCAATCATGCAAAATAAAATATCAAACATGAGTTATGAATTTAATCACATCAGTGTCCATTTAGAAAATAACATGTGGCAATAAAATATATTTAATTAACAACTATTTAATAACTATGGTTGGAGCAAATACATTTAGATAAATATCAAAATAAAATATTAAATAGCACATAAATATTTGCAAACTCATTTTGATACTTTTGGGTTGGAGTTGCTGTAAATATTTACTTAATTATATTTATTAGAGTTATAATGAAATACTTATTAGTGGAATACATTATATAGTATATACGACCATTATACATTTTAAACAAAACAATTGATATTCTTAATGTTAGCCATTAAATAAAGTGGATAAACGAATTTAATACCAAAGATTTAGAATTTATTATATTTTGAAATATATAAAATCAATTCGTTTATTTATCAATTGATTAAACTTAACTTAAGTTATTCAATTTATTAGTATAATCATGATAAGATTTGTATTTTAATTAGTATATAATTTAAAAAGTTAAATCAATCGTAAAATTTATTGTTACTGGACTCTGTGAAGAAAAAATAATTATTTAAATAATAACATTAAATTCATGTAGTATAATTTTCAATATGGTAAATAATTGGGAGTACATTACTCTACACATGGCATAACAAATAGTGTTTTCGCAAGATAGTAAATTCAAACATGTATCTTTCTTTTTTACAAATAATATTAATATATAATATTAAATTAGTAAAAAATTACATATTCTCTAGTCATGTTCATTTAAAATGTATAATATCAAATAATTTATTCTGCAATATTTTTTGTTAATAAATTCAAGTTTATGAATTAAAATTTAAAAAAATCGTAACACCACCAATTATGCAATTATAATAAGGGAAGATTTTAAATCGAATTTAAATAAATTCAAATTAAATTAATTATAAAATAAAATTAAAAAATAAATTTATTTAGGGTTTCTAAGAAAGTTGATATATTTAGAGCATTTTATAAATGGTAGGATATAAATATATTAATAAAATAATTAAATATATTTAATTACCTTTAATTTTGGAAAATGATGACATGTTTTTTGATGATTTATTTCCACCAATCAATTCGCCACTTGGGATGAAATTAAGGACATGTCATCAATTGAAATTGACAAATGTCAATCAATTAGCTATGCAATTCAACTTTTATATATTATATAGATAAAAAAAAAAAAAAAAAAACTAATTGTCCAAACTTCGTCCGACTAAGTCTGAGACTGAGAGCATACGAAATTTCTTTTCGTTCGTTTACCAAGTAAATTCGATTCGGTCACAATCTATATAGACTATGAGCAAACTTTTGTGGCTAAAACAACTAGGACGATTTGTCATACATGATAAGTCATATATTCCAGAATGCCGAGTGGGTTCGAACATACGATACTTCACTTTACACAATTGTAACTATTGTTAAGGTTGCCTAATTTGCTATGTCGGAGTTCTCTTCGACATTTTCTTTTCTTTCTTTCGTAATAATGTGTGTTTGACATTTTTTTAATAAGAAAAATGCATGAATACCATTTAACGAAAGAAACGGAACAAGAGTCAACGAGTGGGTAACCACCGTCACAAAAACAAGCAATAAATATTAAATTGGATGTGTTTGTTGTTTCCTATTCTTGGTAATGTTAGAAATTATAAGAATTCGTAACAAGAAAATCGAATTTCAGTTCCCGCCTATCAGATTGTACTACACTGTGTCGTTAAATCAACCAATCCCTTTTAGTGAGACTCGTTAATTTAATTATTACTCTTGTACTACATCCGTCCCATATTATATGACGTTTTTTGTTGTTGTGTACATATTAAAGAACTCAATAAATATTCATAAATTATATCAAGAAATTACTAATTTACCCTTTTCATTAATCATTGATCACCTAACTAATTATAGTTAACCCAATGTAGCATCGTCATTTCTCGCTCTCAACTGCTCAAGCCTTCCCAAACAGCTTAGCACTCTTCAAATCACCTCCTCCATTTTCAGTTATGCGTAGCCTCTCTCTACATATACATACACTGGAATGTATGTATTTTGCCAATATATGTTGGAATTTTTTAAGTGTTAGACTCAACTTTGGTTGATTATTTAAGTGGATTAAATTTAGTTTACCAAAATTAATATTAATGAATGAGAAATTCCAACATGTATTGGCAAAATAGATACACACAATTAATTATAAGATAAGGTCATATTCGTCTATACGCATATATTTCATAAAATCAAGACATATTTAATGAAATTCTTAATCCATATGCAAAGATAAAAACGACTATTGGGAACGGAGGGATCGGAGTAATATAATATATGGAAAATGAAGAAGTGAAATGCCACCATTGAAAAATATAGAGGTGTTTAAGCACCTATCAAATGGAATAGGTGTTTAATTAATGAGAAAATGTGTAATACATTTTCATGAAATTATTTTCCTGAGTCGTGACTTGTGGTCATAACCTTTGAAGATCTATAAATAGATTTCAAAATCCAACATTTGAATAATTTATTAATTCATTTTATCACGTGGAATTCAA